TGTCTCTCTCCTTCCCTCTTTCTCTCCCTCTGTCGGTTTGTCTGTATTGTTCGACTGGCGCTCGGTTTGCGCTTTTATGGTACATTACATGATCCTTGTACTTTTTACTGGAGCTTCTGTGGTGTTATCGAGTTATTTTTTACTCATGCGTAAGGTCTTTGGTATTTTGGTTTGGTTGATTCTGTTACCCCTGCTCAGTGATTCGTGAAGAAGTGTGTCCACCAATGCACTGCCTTAATGCGCGTGGTTGGAGGGCACACTGGTAGGTTCTACTTCTTTATATTATTCGCTCTCTTTGTTTCTGCCTGTCTGTCTTACTTTTTCCTAGCACTGAATTACTTTTATTGAGTCGATGTGTTTCTCTTTACTCAAACAAACAAATAAGTACTACCTTGACGAAGACAGCTCCGAACACCCCCCCCCCCCACACACACACACTAAACAACAAGGAAATACTTAAAAGTGCCATGATACCTAAACGCTTTTTACGTGAAATGGAAAAACAATGGGGTGGGGGGTGGTCGGGGTGTAGAGAAAACGGAACTCTTAGGATATAAATCCTTTCACGACTCAAAAGTGCACGGGATTATGTAAATCTACGTGTGGATCAATACTCGTTTTGCCAGACGTGTAAAACCGTCCGCCCTTATCGCAGTCAAGGAACGCGAAATAAGCCGACTGTGTTTTTATTAGTTCTTTTAGAGCCATAGAGTATCTGCATCACCCCCCCTCTCTCTCTCTGTCTCTCTCTCTCTCTCTCTCTCTCTCCTTCTCTCTCTCTCTCTATCTCTCCCCATCTTTCTTTCTCTCTCTTCGCCATCTCTTTCTATCTTTCTTCCATCAACCACCTCCCACCCCATCCCTCTCCTGTGTTCGTCGGTCCTGCCTGCCAGCTACGCAATCGCCACTGCTGAAACACGTTTATAATATTAACCCAGTGTGCCATAGCAGAGAAAAGAGGTAGTATATTTAGATATTTCGAAAAAAGAATTGTTTACTCTCTCTCTCCCGTGCTTCTCATAGATCCGACAGAAGTGTGCGGAATTACAGGGTTACGTGCCAACAGAATACATGTACGCTGGTGCAGTTTATCGTATAGCGCCATGCTTAACACTTAGGGTGGCCGAAGCTTAGATCACCCGGCGTGAAAGACAAACGTTGAGTGTGTGTTTGTTATCTGTATTGCTATCTGTTCCCGTTTTGATATTTTTAGTCTCTTTTTTTTCATTTTTTTTCAGAGAGAGATATGTTACTCTGTATAATTAATATAGATCTATAGTTATCGGTTTGCTAACTGTTCGCGTTTGTGATATTTTTAGTCTTGTGTCTTCTTGTTGAACTCTTTCAGAACGTTCTGTGCCTAACACCAAGGCATCAGTGCGTGCACGTTTTGTTTTGAACACGTGATGGTGATAACTTTTTTAAAAGGTGTTTTTAGACCTCCATGGACACGATTGAGATCATTTAGGAGGCGCGTTTCCCACCCTGCCTGTCAGGGAATCATTTGTAGGTCCTACTTCTTTTCTTTCACTATTGCTGTGTATGTTATGTCTTTTTTTTTTTTCTTTAGTAGAGGTTTTACGGCGCTCGCAACTGCATCTGGTCATGTGAGCGTCAGAAGATTAGAGGTGTTACAAGAGAGTAACAAACATAAAAAAACAAGAAGGGGAGATAAGGACGGTGGATGTTTGATAGGAAAGAAGAAGCAAGCAAACCACACCAGAGCACCCGCCTACCCCCCCACATGTTATGTCTAACTTTTCCCCTGCACGAGAGGATCGTTACTGTGTCGGTGTGCTTCTCTCTCAGTACTCAAATGAACTCTGAATGATGTCGAGTGATGATAATCATGATCTTTCTGGGTGTTGCCGAAACATGACAATAATGGTCAGTCTTTGGTGTGTCGAATTGGATTCACTGTCTGACAGTTATTTCAGTCTTTTAAACCGTAGGCCCAATTCTAGAGCAATTAAATAAAAACAAGATTTGATGTACACAGTGGTAGGTGGTTGGCGGGTGCTCTGGTGTTGTTTGCTCTCTTTTTGTCCTATCAAACATCTATTGTATTTATCTCTCCTCCTTTTTTTTGTGTTTGTCTCTCAATTGTAACAGGTCTAATTGTTGGCATTTACATTGTGTTTATAACCTAACTGTGTTGCAAATGCCTTTAAACTTTTACTAAAACAACTGCATGCTACTGGTCCTTTTGACCTCATTGGCTTTGATGCTTTGGGCTTCGTGTTGGTTGTTTACTTTTTTTGTTTTTCGGATATAGTGAACAGTGTCATTGTCTGTTTTTCCTCGTCATTATATTACGCTTGTATGCGTACTATGTTTCTTTTCTTTTTTCTCTCCCCCCCCCCCCCATTTTTTTTCAGGGGGAAATAACCAGACTTCACCATTTTCAAAACAAACTTGGCAAGTCTCACATTTGCATTAGGGGGCTCTCGTGGCCTAGAGGTTAAGGTGTTGGCCTCTCATTCAAAGGTCCCGGGTTCGAATCCGGGTAGCGACCAAAAAATTTTCTTCTCTAAAATTGTCTCCTTTCACCTCCTTTCCTGCTCTCTAGCAATGTTCTGTTGTCTGCTTTCATTTCCACTTTCTGTCCCCACCCCCTCACCTCCTTTGCCCCCTCCTCTGGGCTCCTGACTCTTTCTGCAGCCTTTCTACTGCTACTCCTTGGCTCCTCCTTACTGCTGTCTTTCTGCCACACCCCTGATCTTCTGGTAGGAAAGATCTACACCTAGCCTTCTCGGACAAGGGCGAAAAATCTCGGAGGGCCCGTGTGCAAGTTGCGCACGTTAAAGATCCCTTTGGTGGTCTAAAATCGATAAGAGTAGGCTTCGGCCGCCACCCGGGCAAAATTCAAAATTTCCTACCAACGAAAAAGTATTAGGTGTGTCCCGCGCGCTCATATGACCTTATGCAGTTGCGAGCGCCGTAAAACCCTATACTAAACAAACAAACAAACAAATCCTAACGGACCAGTCAGAACCACATCTGTTTGCTCTGCTTTCTGTGAGAAATACCACAGTACTGTGGTCCTGGCAGAGATTGAAGAAATATATCAACGTTTTTGTCCGATGCATATGTCTCACACAAATGGTAAAATTATAATAATGTGAACTTCTTTTGAATGAGTGTTTGGAGAACATGGATTAGTTTATAGAAAAGTCAGACACGTTGTTAAAGATCTTTGTTCTTTCTCTCTCTTTCTCTCTCTCTCTCTCTCTCTCTCTCTCTTTCTCTCTCTCTCTCTGCCCCCCCCCTCTCCCCTTCCACTAACTCTCTCTCTCTCTCTCTCTTTCTCTCTTTCTCTCTTTCTCTCCCCCTCTCCCCGTGTGTTTGTGTGTGTGTGTGTGTGTGTGTGTGTGTGTGTGTGTCTGTCTGTCTGTCTGTCTGTCACTGACGTGCGCACCAGGTTCATACAACATTCTCATATTTGAGTGCCTCATTTCTGCCTTGTGACATTTAAATCTTCATTCTGGCACAGTCCGCCTTTATTTTCTTCTCTATAGTGTGTGCGTGTGTGTGGGAAAGGGGGGGGGGGGTAAATAAGCGGGAGTCGCGAGGCATTTATGTGTGGTCTCCCCTCTGTATTTTTCGAAGTTGTGAGTGGTGGGCGACGGTCGTTGAGGTGTGGGTCTGTTTCTTCAATTTCTTATAGTTGTCTCTTTTTTTACTCTCTGTTCCAACTAGTCTGTTTCTGGGTAGATGTAAATAAGCTACTAGATGACGGTGTGGTATAAGTAGCGTCGGTAGCCGAGTGGTTAGGCTCGTAATCGTGAGATAGCGGGTTTGGGAGTGCGAGCCTCAGCTCGGTCCGACGTTGTGTCCCTGGGAAAGACACTTTACACGAATTTCACATTTGGCTCGGTCCTTTCGGAGATGGACGTTAAACCCGGGGGTCCCACCTCTTAAATAACCTATTGGTGTTGATTGAGGCGTTGAACCTATACCATTTTCAAGGTGTGGTGTTTGTCGTTGGATGAAGTTTAGCAAACTAAACTCACACTCGATTGTGTCCTCATCTTTGAGCTCTGGTTTCTGCACACGGAATTTCCGAGTTCGATTCCCGTGTGGGGAGAATTTTTATCGAGTACATGTACCTCTGCCTTTCTGCTTGGATGTTGTATCCTTCTCAGCCAGGGATGGCACTAACTAAAGCACGCACGCCGTTTAAATTATTTAAATTGTGTCTACGGGGAAAGACGAGCACTTTAAAAAGTATGTGCCAATAGTATGTCTTTTGTGAATAAAATTATGAAATGCTTCCTGGGACTCTCTTGCGCCATGCTGGGATGGCTATAGTGTTTGCAACAACCGCAGCGAGTTTTCACTGGTGTGTTTTATGCGAAGCGTGGTAACCAAACTTGTTTTGTGGGTGGTTGGAGGGCGCCACTGGTAGGTCCTACTTCTTTACGTTCCCACTGTTGTTTCCGTCTGTTTGTCTGACTTTTTCCAGCTTTAATTAGCTATTATTGTGTCCACGTGCTTTTTACTCAAATAAACAAAGAAAACGTAAAAATGTGCGTGAGTGGGTGGCGGGTGCTCTTGTGTGGTTTGCTTCTTCTTTCCTATCAAACATCTATCTTCCTTATCTCCCCTTCTTCTTTTTTGTGTTTGTTACTCTCTTGTAACACCTCTAATCTTCTGGCGCTCATATGACCTTATGCAGTTGAGAGCACCGTAAAACCTGTACTAAAACTAAAAAAGTAAAAATGTGCTGGAAATGCTTCACTTTTTCCGGAAACAAGCCAGTCAGGGCTGAGTGATAGCTCTGATTTCTTTCTGACAACTCTCTCCGCAATGGTCATGGTGTTTGGGTGTTTTTGTTTATTTCACAGCTTCATGGTGAAGGGCTCAGAGCAGAGCAGAACAAAGCCTCGGCATTTGCTTTCGTTAACTACCGAACAAAAAGAATTGTATCCAGTGTTTATAACAAAAAGCCCCCCCCCCCCTTTGCATTAAAGTTATGTTTCTTTTTCTTTTTTTTTCAGACTCGATTCCAATGGCGAGTTTTGTGAAAGATCTCATGCGACAGTATGATGAGGCCAAACCCAACGCAGGTGAGAAACTTTTAATACCTTTTTAAATGGTGTGTGTGTTTGTGTGTGTGTGTGTGTGTGT